TTTGTGAGACAGGCCCAGTCTGCTCAAATAAATTAACATTCCCTTCTCAGCAAACTCATTACCTGAAACACAAAGTTTGCACGTCAATTTCAACAGAGAAAGAAGAGAAGACATGGAAATAAAGGGATATTCACAGTTTACTAAAATAAAATAACATTGTAGAAGATTAAGATTCCATTTTTATAGTCCAAGCTTCTATCTGTTCTGCAGGTTATGCTGTAACAAACCAAATTAATTGTCTCCCACATGCCTTCTGGTATTTGATAACTTCAGTTCAAAAGATGCTTTTTAAAGTGTAAGAATCTTAAAGTGGAAGTTGCAACACTTTGTGGGCAACACATTGGTAGTAACGGGCACTCAAGGCGGGGAGAGACAACTAGTTTCCTGCCATTCAGTTATTTCTTCATAATAACTGTCCTTTGCAATTTTCTCAATTACATTTTAAACAAGTCTGAAGATGCAATGATGGATCTAGCCCTTTTTACATTAAATTTGTCTTTGCAGAACAAAGTCACAGCTGGAGATTCTGGAGAGAGATGGCTCTGAAAGAAAGAAAAACAAGTGCCTATGGAAGGATAATGTGCTGCAGCATTTCTCTTGCTGTATTTTACCTCTCAAGTCCAAGCGTGAAATAATTTCAACAAACCTCATTTGAAGCAAAGAAAAGTGATTAAAGCAGATACTTTAATTCAAATATGTGGCATTTCCTTTCATCGGAGTCTTGAAGAGCACATACATCTGCAACCAATGAATTTGGGAACAAGAATTTCTACCCACTACAGGAATGTAGACAGAGCTTTCTCCTTAAAGTCCTAATCCACAATTTGTAACTCCTAATCCATAAAGCAAATGATGCTATGACCTCTTTGTTCTACCCAATCTCTAACTAAATAAAAAGTGAAAATCACAAACTGCTCCACTTCCAATAAAAATGTCTTAAGTCAGGCTCCGTGGCTCAGCCTGTAATCCCATGCTTTGGGAGGCTAAGGTGAGTGGATTGCCTGAGCCCGCGGGTTCGAGACCCGCCTGGGCAATTTGGTGAGACGTCATCTCTACAATAAAAATAAATAAAATAAAATAAATAGCTGGGCGTGGTAGCGCGCCTGTAGTTCCAACTACTTGGAAGGCTGAGGCGGAAGGATCACTGGAGCCCAGCAGGTCGAAGGCTGCGGTGGCCGGGAGCGGCCACAGCACTCCAGTCTGGGCAACAGAGTGAGACTCCAGCTCAAAAAAAAAAAAAAGTTTCAAATCAGCCCTGAATATTATCCCAGTTCAGGAATTTTTTGGATCTCTAGGTTAGGTGTGCACCTGGGTGACACAGGCAGTACAAACTTTCAGAACAGAGCAAATAAGTAGAACACTAAAAGCGAGAAGCTGTGTTTAAATAATACAACACCGCCACCTAGAGGCCGAACACTAAGAACACCACCACCAAACGGTGGAGAACTAGACAAGCTATTTACCGCTCACACCAGCAAGGCGTCTGCCTTCACAAGATGGGATGAGAGGCGGTTTAAAAGAGCGAACAATAGGACATTGAGGAAATGTTACAGAGTCGTCAGATGTGCTTCCCCATCACCACCTACAAAGACAGGTGCTGACTAGCCAATCAAGAAACCAGTTTGATGATGGTTGTATTTACATACTCGGAAACCAGCGTAAAGATCATACTTCTAATCCAATAATGTGTCCTTCAGTGAGTACATTTATTACACTATTTGGAATAAGCATTTCTTAAAGAATCAAATAAACCCAGGAACATGGAATACAAACCAACGTAAACAGGCTCCTTTATTGCAGGTCTTCTCAGAACCTTTAATATTTGACTGTACATAGTAAATCTCCAAAGAGATATAAAATGCATGTTTCTCAACTTTTATTTTTATTTTTGAGTTAGAGTCTCACTCTGTTGCCCAGGCTGGAGTGCAGTGGTACGCTCATGGCCACCGCAGCCTCTATCCACTGGGCTCAGGCAATCCTTCTGCCTCAGCCTTCTAAGTAGCTGGAACTACAGGTGCATGCCACCACACCTGGCTAATATTTTGATCTATTGTACAGATGAGGTCTCACCTGTTGCCCGGGTGATCTTGAACCCCTGGGCTCAAGCAATCCTCTCACCTTGGCCTCCCAAAGTGTTGGGATTACAGGTATGAGTCACCAACCTGGGCTGTTTCTGAATTTTAACTATTAGAATCCTTTTTCTGCAAAACACACCATGAGCAAAACCTTTCTTCCTACTAGGAAAGCAAGGCCCAGTAGTGGCCGTAGTATAAGGATACATGTTCTGTCCAGGTTTGGTGGCTCAGCCTGTAATCCCAGCACTTTGGGAGGCCAAGGCAAGTGGATTACCTGAACCTGTGGGTTCAAGACCCACCCGCGCAACTTGAGGAGACCTCGTCTCTACAATAAATCAAAAAAACTAGCCAGGCGTGGTAGCGTGCACCTGTAGTTCCAGCTACTTGGAAGGCTGAGGCAGAAGGATCGCCGGAGCCCAGCAGGTTGAGACTGCGGTGGCCGGGAGCGGCCACTGCACTGCAGTCTGGGCGACAGAGTGAGACTACAACTCAAAAAAAAAAGGATGCAGGTTCTGGACTCCAACTGCTCAGGTTCCAATTCTAACTCCACCACTTCATAGTTGAGCTGCTCTGTGCCTCAGTTTCCCCATCTGTAAATAGGAGTCTAGTACCTACTTCACAAGGCATTGTGAAGGTTTGTGTGCAGTCTCCCAACTCTGGTGTCACAGTTTAGCAAAGCTACTATTACAGATATAAACTTCAGCTATGTCCAGCTGCTGCCCACATTTCCTCTAGGGACTATGAGCCTTTGTGGCTCTGGCAGGGGGTAGGGGAGATGAGGGAGTAAAGTTATTTAATTAGCTTAGATGAAAAACAGTAACGATATTCACTAGTAATCTTTTCTTGAATAATTGGAAGAGCTTTCAGCATTTGAAAAACAAAAAAGAATATCCTAAACAAAGTACACAAATCACAAAAAGTGCTTTCTCCAACAAACCTTGTAGCTATCCTAATTTTATCTTTTAAATCATTCGTTTTTCTGTACAAGCACAGAACTCAAAATGTAGAAGGTAAATTAACACAACTCATGAATACCGCCAGCATTCTATATTGGGACATATATATATATGTGTGTGCGTGTGTGTGTATATACACATACATACACACACACACGCACACATACATATGCATATGTATGTGTGTATATATAAACATGTGTGAATGGGAGTAGTTGTATGTGAAATAGATAAAATACCTTGCAGCCTAAGACTTTAAGGTTTTTTTAAACCATCTGTCCCAGCTTTCTTTGAGGTAGACTGGTACAAACTTCCATCAGGATGCAAAACATTTCAGGCAAACTCCTAATATTTGTATTATACTTCCATTTCCTTTTTCCTGAATTGTCTTCTTTCCACATTTTACTATTTTATTTCCATTTCATCATTAAGGACTTCTTCTTAATCACTCCCTGAATTTATAATTTTCAGCAGTAGGAAAAAAAATAGCATTTACCAGGCACCAATATACCAACAATGTACCAATGTACCAACAATGTGTATCTTCAAACATTATCTCTATTTAACCAATGGGAGCCTGTGATTGAAGGCTGCAGGTAAATGCAGGCAGCACTGAGCTGCCAGATCTGGAGGACAAAGCTCTTCTTTGTCACTAACTAGATCTATGATGCAGCTGGCCACCTTTGGTGTCCCCAAGACAGTGCCACCAGTTCACATCTGCTGCTCAGGCATCCTTACCCATGGCACCCCATCCATTCTCCACAGTATTTGGTATGGAGTTTAAGTTACATGGTTATCCTAGCTATAGTCTCAACAAGGCTCTGTACCTCTCTGGACCTCCGTTTCCATAGCTTGAAAAAGGAGATAGAATTAGACAATATTTTAAGAGTCTTCTTCAAAGTGTTTCTGTGATTTCCATGTACAATTTTAAAACTGAACTCCTGGGCTGGATGCAGTGATTCACGCCTGTAATCCCAACACTTTGGGAGGCCGAGTCGAGAGGATCGTTTGAGGCCAGGAGGAGTTCAAGACCAGCCTGGGCAATATGGAAGACCCAGTCTCTACCAAAAAAATTAAAAGCATAAAAATAAACAGGCCCGGGCTCAGTGGCTCAGCCTGCAATCCCAGTACTTTGGGAGGCCGAGGCAAGTGGATTACCTGAGCCTGTGGGTTCAAGACCCGCCCGGGCAACTTGGGGAGACCTCGTCTCTACAACAAACCAAAAAAAAATTAGCTGGGCATGGTAGCACACACCTGTAGTTCTGGCTACTTGAAAGGCTAAGGCGGAAAAATCGCTAGAGCCCAGCAGGGCAACGCTTGGGTGGCCGTGAAGGTACCACAGCCCTCCAGCCTGGGTGACGAAGTGAGACTTCAACTCAAAAACAAAACAAAAAACAAAAAACTGAAATCCTAATCAAATTATAAAATTAAAGATCTTTCATCCTCTAGCTACATTTCTCCCATTGATAAACTAATATGCATTTTCTCCAATCAGTTTAGTCCCACCTAACTATATGTGTTTGATTGAACAGTCATTTAAGTGTCAATAATGAGTATATTTCCAGAGATGGAAGAAACAAAAAACTAGCTGGAAATCAGTACAATTTTTAAAAATGTATTCTACTTCATTTATCTCCTCACTTCTGCTTAGGTTGGACACAAAGATCACACCAGGCCCTGGATATTCCCCATCACAACTGAGACTTGTTGATACAAAACACCTAATGAAAAACATTTTCACATGGGCCTAGATCTCCTACTTTAAAACAGAAATGGGTCAGGGGAGATACCTGGACACAAAGTCATGAAATCTCGACATCAGGATAAGAACTTGAAACCCTGACACATAAGAAATGTTAACCACAGAAGGCAGCAAAAGAAAAAGAAATGAAGAAGAAAAAGACAAGATGGGATGACCCAATGTTCCATCACCCCACCCACTCCCACCTTAGGGAAGTAGAAAAACTGATTTTGGAGTAAATACATTTATTGATACCCATTTTATATATAGTTCAATGAAATAATCTATAAATATAAAAGCATTTTTCTTTTGGATATCACCATGGTCCATGTAAATACTCAACAGTCAGAATCATCTGCAGGAAGCACTCAAGTCACACTGTTAGGTTACAGACCTGAAAATACATATTGCATTAAACAGTGGCACTTATGTACTCAAGTGGTCCAGTGGCTTTGGAATAGATGACTATTGGGCATGTGGAATAAAAATAATGTGTAAGTTTAAATCAATGGATAGGGTATCAACCACCAACAAAAAGCAACAATTACTCATTAATATCCTAGCCAAAGAAAGTACCACAGTTGACACCTGGTGTCAGAATACTGGAGACAAAGTATGTAAAATAACACACACGTTGCGGCACCACATGCTCTCTCCAACTCCCAGGGGACAGTCCAACAGTGCCTTAGGGCCACTCATGGTCAACAGACCGCAATAAACAATCTAAACAGCATAGAATAAAAGGTATGTAAAGGTTGATATCAAGATTAAAGAAAAGTGAGCTATTTCAGTGACATAATGAGTTTCCCCCCTAGAAGGGCACTATGGGAAAAACAAGTTTTTTACATTCCCTTTGTTACATTGAGCATGATCATTTCTCTAATGCAGGAGACAGAATGCAGGCATTTGGTACCCAAAACATAGGTGCACACATTTTTCTTCTGTTTCAAAGTTCTTTTCTGAACACATCCCAAGGGTACTAATGCAGCCACTGTTGAGCCTTGCTCTCCACCTGATGCAGCATAAAATTTTCTCTTATTTCTTCAATAACAAATGCAGGAATGTCTTTTGCTGCAGTCAGACTGTGTCTCTTCTGAGTTAGCAAGCAAATGCATTTAAAAGGTCTTAGATGTGCAACGTCCAAAATCGAAATCTGAGAGGCAGTGTTAGAACTTAAGCAAGGCAGGATTTTTAGAGACTACTCAAATGAAAGCCTACGTGAAGCATATAAAAATTCAGTTTTTCTATTATTTTCAACTGGAATTGACAGCAACATTCCCTGGTAAGGATGGGTAACTGGTGTTATCTCCAAGTCCAAAATATCCCAACTACTTAAAGTAGGACCCAAAAGAGGAGAAAGACACACTTGAGTTCTGTGGTCTCTAGGTTCTTTTTTTTTTTTTTTGCCATTTTTCAAAAAAGAAATTGTAGTTTCAGTTGTACACCACTGGTTGAAGGGGCTTTCATCCAAATGAGAAACTCTACCCCTTGTCTCCTGTGGGACAGGCACCAGATTCCCACAAGCAGCAGCTCCCATGTCCTGTAGCATGTGGCATCTGACCCTGGAGTGAAGAGTAAGCTGGCACAGAGCCCCGACGCTAGGATTCAGACTAGATGGCATTTCGCACTAGATGGCATTTCGCGGCGTGCCATTATGTGTCAAGGCTTTCAGGCTGGGGGCACTGGTCTGATGACCACAGCTCCTGTGAGAAGTCACACCCACCTCAAAAACCTCATGAATAGCTTTTCGGAAACAGTGAAAGTTGTAGTCTATTAAACCTGCAGGAAAGAAAAAGAAAGTCATGCCTCCTAAACGTCAATTGTGAAATTTTCTACTAGGAAATATTTAGCAGCAGGAAAAAAAACCGGTATGTATTTAAAAACATACACCCAACTGAGGAATTCTCTACATTGGATACAAGATAAGGCAAATACCCAACTGTTAACACGGGTTACCTCTAGGCCCTGGGAGAGGACGTGGTGAGCAATCAGGCTAAGTAAAACAATTGGGAAGGTAAATTTGCTAAGAAAATTTACGAGTCCGCACTCACTGTGCGAGTTTTTCTGTCCTCTCAATAAATCCTGGTTTCTCATTAAAAAAAAAAGAAAGAAAGAAAGAAAAATCTCAAGTACTTTTTGAATTTAAGCTTTTCCTTTTACAAGTCTTCAGGACAGCCAATGAAGAGCCAAAGAAAACAAGTAAAGCAATAGTTTGGCAAACTGCTCAGCAGAAAACCCTGGACTCTGGGAAGGATCAGAGAAGCCTATCAGGCAGAGTTTCAGGTAGCTCGGACCCCCCTTAAGCAGAACAGCTTCCCTTTACCTGTTTGATAAACTAGGCTTCCACATAAAACTCTGGTTGAACAAAGGCTTCTATTTTGTGACAGAAATGGCTAGCTGCACATCAAATAACCATTTTCCTTCCTCTTCCTTAGAATCTCAATTTTAGATGAGCATATGGGTACTAAGCTAAAACATTATATTTCCCAGCCTTCCTTGTAGCTAGACATGGTCACATGACCAATTCCGGCCTGAGATAAGTGTAAGTGTGTGGGACTTCAGTGAACTCGCCTTAAGAAGAAGAGAATGAGCCAGGCTTGGTGGCTCAGCCTATAATCCCGCGCCTTTGGGAGGCTGTGGTGAGTGGACTGAGTGAGCCCGCGGGTTCGAGACCCGCCTGGGCAGCGAGACCTCATCTCTACAATAAATCAAAAAAACTAGCTGGGCGTGGTAGCACGCACCTGTAGTTCCAGCTACTTGGAAGGCTGAGGCGGAAGGATCGCTGGAGCCCAGCAAGTCGAGGCTGCAGTGGCTGGGAGCGGCCACTGCACTCCAGTCTGGGCGACAGAGTGAGACTCCAACTCAAAAAAAAAAAAAAAGAAGAAGAAGAGAATGTATTCTTTCCTCAGTCTTGCCGTTTCTTCTTAATGTCTGGAATATGGATAAAATGGCTGGAGCCCCAGGACCCATTCTGGACATAAGGTAACCCTGAGAACAGAAGTCAGTGCTAAGAATGACAGAGCAGGAGGAGAAGTACCCATCTGTTAGAGGACATGAGGAAACTGCCTTAGCTGTCCTAGACTATCCCCAGACTTCTTTAATGTGAGAGAGAGACATAAACTTCCAACTTGTTTAAGCCACTGTTCTTTGGGTTTGCAGCCAAATCTAACCCTGACTGATAAACACTGCTTGAAATTCTTTAACCTCCAAACTAGACAGCAACCTCTTCAACCACAAGAACAGCTGGTCATCATATATATTCACCATCATAATATCCTGATAGACAACAAACGTGCGATTTGAATATCACCTTGGCCAAATTAATCTCTCTCATATCCAAGCTTCACATCACTCAATTTACATTCAAGAAATGTAAAATATTAAAACAATGTGTGGATCAGGTGCAGTGGCTCACACCTGTAATCCCAGCACTTTGGGAGGTGGAGGCCAGAGGACTGCCTGAACCCAGGGGTTCAAGACCAGCCTGGTCAACTTGCAAGACCTCATCTCTACAACAAATCAAGAGAAGTTAGCTGGGCATGGTGCTGCATGCCTGTAGTTCCAGCTACTCGGAAGGCTGAGGTAGAAGGATCACCTGAGTCCAGGAAGTTGAAACTGCAGTGGCTGTGAGCATGCCACTGCACTCCAGCAGGGAGAACATAGTGAGACCTGGACTTAAAAAGAAAGAAGGAAAAAAAACACTATGTGAGGCCGGTCACAGTGGCTCACACCTATAAGCCCAGCACTTTGGGAGGCTGAAGTGAGAGGATTACCTGAGCTAATGAGTTCAAGACCAGCCTGGGCAACTTGGTGAGAACTCATCTCTACAATAAATCAAAAAATTAGCCAGGCATGGTGGCGCATGTCTGTAGTTCCAGCTACTTGGAAAGCTGAAGCAGAAGGACTGCCTGAGCCCAGGAGGTCAAGGCTGCCATGGCCAGGAGCATGCCACTGCCCTCCAGCATGGGTGACAGAGTGAGACTCCTACTCAAAAAAAAAGAAAAAAGAAAACACTATGTGGCCTGCTTGAACATAGTGTGATCTTTCAATAATTTATATTTGATTTGATAAGTCATTAAATACTTTTTGAAAGCACAACAGAGGGTACAATGTGTCAAAGAAAGCAGCAGATATGGTCCATGCCTTTCCAGGAAATGCTAGCTGGGGCATAAAGCCAAAGCACAAGAAACAAACCAAAACAATCTGGTGTCAAATTGACTACAAATGTGAAAGAAGTCCAAAGAAGGGAGAGCCAAATGCAGGGCAAAGTAGTCAGTGAAAGCTTCGGAGATAAGAATAAACTTTAGGGATATGGGCAGGACTTAATTAGGCAGAAAGGGGAGCAAAATCACACACACACACACAAAAACTGCAGGAAGTTGGCAACAAAACACAGCACAGGTAGAGGACAGGAACACAAGGGTCTGACTGGAGAGAGGGGCACCAGAGAATTCTTGGCAGGAAGTACTAGAAATCAGGTCTGAATTATTAGAGCCAAATTAAGATGGTCCCTCTCAGATTCAAAAAAATAAACAAAACTATAAAAGACAAGTTTCGATCAATGCAAATAAATTAAAATTGACTTCTGAACCAACTGTATTCTTGACAATCAAGAATATTGGAACACTGGCCAGATATTTGATATCATTAAATCACTGTTAATTTTATGTTTACTAATGCTAATATTATTATGTACTCTCTTTTAGAGATGCCTACTGAAACCTACTGACAAAATGACTTAATGTCAGGGATCTGCCTCAAAATAATCCAGCGGAGAAAGTGGTATAAATAAGAAATAAGACTGGTGATAATTACTGAATCTGGGCGATAGATTAAATCTTAAAACTCAGGCAGAAGACTGGGTATTTGTTGCAGTGAGGAATAGAAAGTTACTGCAGATTCTTGAGCAGCTAAATAATATGATAAAAGAAATTTTTTGAAAAATAGTCTGTATTTGGGATAAAAGATAATATATACTAGACCCTCCGTGTATATGTCAAATGCACGAACATTATCAAATAGGAGGTAACTGCAGCACCACAGGCCTGGAGGGATGAGGACCTGAACTGGAGTCATTGAACAATGAAAATGGAAAGGAAATCAGCCGGGCGTGGTAGCGTATGCCTATAATTCCGGCTACTTGGAAGGCTGAGGCGGAAGGATCGCCGGAGCCCAGCGGGTCAAGGCTGTGGTGGCCGGGAGCGGTCACTTCACTCCAGTCTGGGCGACAGAGTGAGACTCCAACTCAAAAAAAAAAAAAAAGAAAATAGAAAGGATGCCCAAGAAACAGTTCCAATAAACAAATTATCAGATTTGGTGAAAGTTAAATGTAAACAACATGGAGGAATGGAAAAAGGAGAACACAAAATCCCTATATGAACTGATCTGCAAGGGCCCCTTCAGTAATACCACCAAACAATTACCTAAAGATATCTAAGCTTGGACAGGAGAAAAATGACATAACTAGTGACAGAAGTAGGACAGCCAAGAGAGTCATGAAACAGAGGAAATAATCATCCACTAGTGATGGACACAATGCCCAAGTAACAATCAACTATTTAAGGGAAGGTGTCTTACTAATAGCTCCAAACATGGGACCAAAACATGAGCCCAAGTCAGAACCAGAGATGTGAATTTTTCAGTCAAACACATACAGAAGATTAACTGAAGCCATGGGCTGGATGAACTCACCTGCAGAATTAGTGAATAGAAAAATGTGGCTGTGATGAACACTCAGGACTGAGAAAAAGAAAAACAGTCCAAAGAAATAGGAGAGATGGCCAGGGAAACAAACACAAAATAACCCGAAGAGTTCAGCTTTAGAAAGACAAAGAGAGAGGAAAGCGTTAAGAAAGGAATGACTGTCAGGCTCATAAGCTTCAGAAGGCTGAAGAGATTGTAGAAAAAGAAAAGGCCACTGAAAGTAGTAAAAGCTAATCTAGTAATTTCTCAAAAAATAATTTCAGTAGACTGATTCAGATGGAGGTCAAACTGAAGGCAGTTAAACAGGTACTAACGAGATCTAAAGGAAGAGAAGCTAAAATAAAAAACTTTATCTAAAATAAAAGATCTAAAGAAGAAAGGAGAAAGCCTGGGCCATATGCAGAAGGAAAGGGACAAAATTAGTTTAAGTTAATTTTTTTTAAACATCGCCATTTGTCTAACACTGTAATATTTCTCTTATTTTCAAGAACATGAGAAATGATGGCAAATAACTTAACATAAGACAGCTTTTTAAAATGCCATTACCTTTTCGTTCAAAACTCTCTTCCCTAAGAATACAGACCAGTGCCAAAAATTTAGTCACCTCCTTTAAATAAAGGACAGTTGTATTATTCAGCTTGATAATTGCCATAGATTCTTTGTCATAAGCACTTCCACTTCCATCTTCCTTTAACCTATTTTAAAAGAAAGTACTGTTCATTACAGGTTTCCCAGCTAGGCATTTAGTCACATTTAATTTGTAAAGTGACAAGTCTTTCCACCCAGTTTCCCAAATATCTTTTTGAGAAAGAATAATACTGGCTTGAATATACTGGAACAGAGTGTTATTCAGGTACAGGGTTCCTAATCACAGAATCTCAGAAATTCCTACTAAAAATGATGACACCATACATATCCCTTCATACCACAGATAATCAGGCGTTTGGGGAAAAAAGTGAAAATGTATTTATCTTAACCAGGGAAATGACATTTCCAACATCTTGCCAGATGGGACTACATACCCTCTCAGACTGTATTCTGTAACTCCAGCAGAGGTGCCTCTTCTCTTTACTTCCCTCAGGTCACAGGAACCCTCTAGGACCTGCTACTATCTGAGCTCTTAACTATTGGATTTACACTCTTAAGGAATTAAGAGTTGTCAAAACTGCCTTTTTAAAAGAAGTATCTGCCTTCAAAAACAAAAAAGAGCCGGGCTCAGTGGCTCAGCCTATAATCCTGCGCTTTGGAAGGCTGAGGTGACTGGATTGCCTGAGCCTGCGGGTTCGAGACCCGCCTGGGCAACTTGGCAAGACCTCATCTCTACAATAAATCAAAAAAATTTGCGGGGTGTGGTAGCACATGCCTGTAGTTCCAGCTACTTGGAAGGCTGAGGCAGAAGGATCGCTGGAGCCCAGCAGGTCGAGGCTGCAGTGGCCAGGGGCGGACACTGCACTCCAGTCTGGGAGGCAGAGTGAGACTCCAACTCAAAAAAAAAAAAAAAAAAAAGGTGAATAAAATATACTAAAAAGAAAACGTGGTAATTTCTTGCACCCATGCCAACTTTGGCATGTCTCCATTTCTTTTCTCCCTTCTTTCTCTAATAAACTTTGTTTAAAAAAGGAAAGAAGGAAGGAAGGAAAAAAGCAATGGCCTTTGGTAGTAAAACAAGGTATTTTCCTCTTATTTCCACTTTTCTATTTTCCATGCAGTTTTTAATGAGTGGAGATGAGGCTTAGTTTCAAGCCTACTCTGAGTCCTACAGCTTATCTTCTCATATATTAATTTGATAAGATTTGCCTCCAAAACAAAAATACATTTTAAAAGTGACATAAGTAACACTTAAAAAATTGTCAGCAGTAAGTCATCTTTGGTAGTGGCTATTTACTCCTGTTTTTATTTTTCTATATCGTCTATGTATATTTTCATGAATTGAGGCTTATTTTTTAAACCATTCTGACTTACAGTTTACCTTCTCATACATTAATTTGATCTTCTCAACAGCTGTGAAGACAGGAATTATTACCATAGCCCTATTTAACCACTTTAAATCCTTTCTGTGACAAGTCAAAATCAACTACTACATAAAGAAGACTATACCTATTCAAAAGATGTAGAAACAGAAGTTCACTAAAAACAAAGTGATCTCCTGGCAAAGTTCAGTACTCAAACTTGTGTTTTTTAACTCAATTCCCTGCAGTTTCCAGTATGCTTCCTAACTAATTCAAATAAAGTTGATTTGGAAAGGCAGAGCGGTGGGGAAGTAGGTGTCCTTTACTTTAAGGGTATAAAAGAAAACTACTTCTAATTCGAGGAGAGGAAGTTATAAGTGCTATGTGTTCTCAGCTTATAGTTAGATGCCCTTCGTAGATCCATTTTCTGTGCCTCATGGAAAGTGACAGCGAGAGCTAACTTTAACAACAGGTTCCGACACGATGATTCCCTAAGCTAGTACTCATAGCCAGCAGCTGTTAAGAAGCTACAAAGTTTTTAATGTCAAACCAGCACATAATCTTGAATCATATACTAACATGAGAAAAGAATAAGAAAGGCAGAAGCAGGAAGCTATAACTAAGGAGAACCATACTTAGTAGCAGAATACCCTAATGGCTGCTAGTAGGGCACAACAGGGTATAATAAACTATGGGAGGGAAAGTAACCTGGTTAGTTCTCAGACTATAAAGTGAAAATCTCATAGAAAATATCATGGGACAAAACATATACCAAGTGTCAACATGTTACAGACACTTTCTCTTTCTGTGACCCGACAGAATTCCATGCATTCACACTTTCATCTTGTCTCCCTAGGATGCACAGAATATAGCGGGCTTCAAATCTTCGCCCATACTCATCTGTACTGACACAGTCTACAAATAAAAGGAGGATCTAAAATATAAAAACTGCCACTGGTGAAAAAGTAGCAAATATAAAAACTAAAAGAAATATGGTCTAAGCTGGGTGCAGTGGTGTGAACCTGTAGTCCCAGCTACTTGGGAGGTTGAGAGGGTAGAATCACTTGAGCTTAGGAGTTTGAGTCCAACCTGGGCAACAAAGCAATATCCTATCTCAAAAATATAAATAAATAAAAGAAATATGGTCTATCAAAGGTATTATGGAGTCCTAATACTTGCAAAGTAAGTCTTTCAGGGTCTGAAAACTACTTCATTTATTAAACTAGAATTGTCAAAATTATACATAATCCCCCTCAAAAAACATGTCAAGAGTCAATTAAGAGGGATTAAACTGTAATAAAGCACATCAAATTGCATGCACAAACTGTGTTAAGAATAGTGAGATAAAGCCCTTTTTTCTGATATTTTTATCATGTACTTTACAATATGTATTTTAAATGTATCTTACACTGAAAATAAATTTTACAACTAATTTTGATTTTTATATTACAAATAAGTTAGTTTATGCAATTTTGATTTGTTTGTTAAAGAAAAAGCAAATGTTCTACCAATTTATTTTTTAAATTAGGAAAGAGAAACATAAAACTTTACTAACATCTCGTTTTCTTTTTTCTTTTTTTTTTGAGTTGGAGTCTCACTCTGTCGCCCAGACTGGAGTGCAGTGGCCGCTCCTGGCCACTGCAGCCTTGACCTGCTGGGCTCCGGCGATCCTTCCGTCTCAGCCTTCTAAGTAGCTGGAACTATAGACGTGCACTATCACGCCCGGCAATTTATTTTTTTAATTACAGAGACATGGTCCCGGTATGTTGCCCAGGCTGGTATCAAACTCCTGGGCTTAAGCAATCCTCCTGCCTCAGCCTCCCAAAGTGCTGGGATTACAGACTGAGCCACCACACCCAGCCCAAACATCTCATTTTCATTATGGAAACACAAGAGATCATATAATCACAAAAGTGAAAAGAATAGACAGAAATGGAAGACAGGAGCAGGGAAGTAAAGAACAAGTAAGATAAACATACACTACTACTCAGAGGCAGCTAGAGGAAAAACACTGACAAATTAGGTAGAAAGACCAAAGTAACGGGTAAAGTCAGAGGTGAAAGCCAAGTTTAGACTAGGTAAAGCAGAGAGGAGAAAAAGATAGAGGACACAGATATTAGAAAGCAAAAGTACATGTTAAATCATCTGAAAGTCTCTTGGGAGTTCTGATGTTAATATACTAGGGGACTCAGGGTTATCAGAGAGTATGGACAATGTTACTGGTTTATGAAATGCCAGTAATTTTCCAAAGTTTTCACTAGCCCTCTGGCCTATTCTACAAAATCACTTGTTTGCTGGCTTTTATAAAATTCTATATACAGTTTGGTTATAACAGTTTGGTGGATTTACATAAAGGTAAAGCTCATATTTTAGAGGTTAATTTTGGAAGCAGATGAGTCAAATTTCTATAAGTCCTTCTAACATCTAAAATTCTAATTACCTTATTTCTTGGCTATCTGAAAGATTAAGAATCCCCTGCTCCACAATGCCTGAGGTTAAATTAGGAACCAGAATTTAATTTGTCATTCAGATCATTTTAAATAAATTAATCTAGTTTTTCCATCTAGCTAAGTCCTAGTAATAAGAAGACATTCCAAGTCTCCCACATAACAGTGGAAGAAACTTGCAGTGATAATTAAGTCCAGTGCTAGTTACATTCTCCAACTTTTCTTAGCCATCTTATCTGGAATAAGATCTAGCAGCTCATTTATAGAGAAACCATGCTCCGAGCTGAAGCACTATGGTCAGAATGATCCCACTTCATACAGAGCTACTTGCCAGAGGCTTCAGAAATTCCTTCGCTGGACAATCGAGCTGGTAGTTTTCCATTTGTCTGAGATCTTGCAAAAATATGTATATAACTTACCCATATATACAAGACACGTCAATTACAACATCAATCATGTCACAGCAAAGCTCGTAAGATTGCATATCCACAGGGGAACTGTCTGTTGCAATGTAGATTTTGCTGACAACATCAAAGAGAAAAGCTTTTTCAATACCTGAATTCTTGGAAAAACAAAATTGGGGAAGTGTTCAGTTTTTAAGAATCACAATTTGCAAGATCAAAGATCCTTAATTATTGAGTAATATCCAAGGGTCATTTTTAATTATATGACCTAATACCAAAAAACAAATAGTGCTTTGGACAATAGACAATACAGGTAGAATTACTTCTCTGCCCTGATTTTCTCATATAATTTCCTAAGTCAAATGTTTTTCTTTTCCCTTTTTACTCAAATGAATTTTTTTCTAAGACACCAACAAAAATTTTACAAAAAAATTCTCCAAAAATCAAGTGATGATATAATCAATCTCTGATTTGAATGACCTCACTACCAGAAAGGCGTTATGTGGTGATTAGCAAAACATGAAAGAATTAATTTAATATCAACATGTAACATAACCCAAAAGCCCAAAAGTCAAAGTGGGGATCACCATATACTGAATCCTTTCAAAGTAATGTTTCAAAAATATAATGGCTAAATGCTAAATTTATTGGAGAGTTACCCTCTTATTAAACTGAATCCTCAAAATAAGAATGTAAAATATGATACTCAGATTACAGTAGTAATAAGGTCACATTCTCAAAACCCAGTCTATTTCGGTTACTACTATTCCTTCAGAAAACAGGTATCATAAAGATTTTTTTTATTTGAGTCAGAGTCTCACTCTGTCGCCCAGGCTGGATGGAGTGCAGCGGCATGCTAACAACTACCACAGCCTCGACCTGCTGGGCTCAGGCAATCCTTCCACCTCAGACTTCCAAGTTGCTGAAACCACAGGCATGTGCCACCAAGCCTGACTAATTATTTTATTTATTATAGAGATGAGGTCTCACCAAGTTTGTTCAGGTTGGTCTCAAACTCCTGGGCTCAGGCAATCCTCCCTTCTCCACCTCCCAAAGTGCTGGGATTAGAGGTGTGAGCTATCGCACCTGGCTCATAAGGATGTTTTTTGTTAAGAAAGCATGAGGGCTGGGTATGGTGACTCACACTTGTAATCCCAACACTTTGGGAGACAGAGGCGGGAGGACTGCCTGAGCCCAGGAGTTCAAAACGAGCCTGGGCAACTTGGGGAGACCTCATCGCTAAAATAAATTTTTTTAAAATTAGCCAGGTATGGTGGCATGCAGCTGTGGTTCCAGTTACTTGGAAGCCTGAGGCAGAAGGATCATCTGAGCCCAGCAGATCAAGGCTGCAGTAGCCATGAGCATGCCACTGCACTCCAGCATAGGCAACAGAGTGAGATTTTCACTCAAAAAAACAAACAAAAAAAAAGCATGAGAAAATTTTTCATCAGTTCATTTTAAAGACAAAAAGGGTGAGTACTAAGAAAATAATTCAGAAAATAACAACTTAAGCCACATTTTATGCTATTATTTATTTTACATTTTAAAGATATCATTAGCTTTTATGCTTGGGTCAGACTAATTCAAGCCACTTTTTGGAGAATTTGAAAACACAAATATATTTAACAAAACCAGAATCAGAAACTACAGTGAATTATATATAAATTGCTCACTTACTGATATAAAGATATTTAATAGGTTTTCCAAGGTCGGTAGTTGTGGAATGAGTTTCTGCACCACCTTACTAAAAGCTTCAAATATTGAATGGTCATAGATACTAGTCAAATAAAAGCTGAAAAACACAACATAGTCTGATTTGAAAAATGCCTTAAGTTCAGGGTCATCTATCATAATACATACAATTTCAAATTTCTTAACATTTCATTTCATAAGTTCAAATAAAGCCTCTTTATCTTGTCTACCATGCCCATCATTCAAGATGACAGACGCAGCTTTCTGACTGGCTTGTGGCTATCTACCTCTTTACCGCATTTACACAGAGGGCAACTGAGATAGTACCTAGGAAAGCATTTTTACACGCAAAAACTTGAATATTCACCACAAGTCTTTACAACCCAGTACAAAAAATTTGGTTGTTTAAGCACATAACTGAGACAAAAACCAAGGGCACAAGAGAAAGCTAAAAGAGCTATGTGGCATTTATTAAATAAGAATGTAACTCAGGTCTCTACTAAAATATCCCCTCAAAAATTTCTTTCCTGACTAGCCTATCTTAAATAGTACTAGTGTACCTGATGCTTTCTACCTCTTTCTCCTAATTTTTTTTTCTTCATAGCATTGGTAAGTACTTAAAATTGTATTATACATGTATTCATAGAAGTTTTTGAGTCGTGTCATTCATCAGAATGCAAACTACATGAAAAAAGAGACTGTCAGTCTTGTTTGTAGCTGCAAGTCCACTGCCCTGAACAGTGCTCATAAGTATTTGCTGAATAAACAAACAAATATAACTGGTGTTCAGAATTTATGTATATAGTATATTAAGGAAGATGAGAGCTAAGGCCCTACAGACAAGGGAAGAGAGAATGGAGGCATCAACAGGAGTCTGGAGGACTAAAAGGATGTACAGTGGAAAAGTAACATGAAGATTCAATAAAACATATTTAGCCGGGCTCGGTGGCTCAGCCTATAATCCTGCGCTTTGGGAGGCTGAGGTGAGTGGATTGCCTGAGCCCACGGGTTCAAGACCCACCTGGGCAGGCGAGACCTAATCTCTACAATAAATCAAAAAATTAGCTGGGCGTGGTAGCACACGCAGGTAGTTCCAGCCACGTGGAAGGTTGAGATGGAAGGATCGCCAGAGCCCAGCAGGTCAAGGCTGCGGTGGCCGGGAGCGGCCACTACACTCCAGTCTGGGCGATAGAGTGGGACTCCAACTCAATAAATAAATAAATAAATAAATGAAACATATTTGAGAGAAAGAGACACTCTTAATTTAAATACTGTGGACAATTCTACCTGCTTTTTTCACTCAGGGAGTAACTCTTCAACACATAGTTGCATCTATGACACATTTATACAGAGGGTGCCAAAAAAAACATATACACATTTTGAGAAAGGAAAAAACTGCATTAAAATTGTAATACCGGTAACAAAAGATGAATACAAGTCACATTTGACTTCTGCAATTACAAAAAAGTGATTACCATCAGGGTCAAGATTCCTTCTCATTATCGCTTAAAATGTGTGTACAATTTTTTGGCACCCCTGATATTTACATATTACAAAGTCAGAGGCATAGAATAGTATATACTATTTTATAGGTAAGATGCTTTCAGGGAGCTAACCTAAGAACCTAACCCTATGCAGGAAGGAGCTCTAATGTAGATGTGACAGCACTGGAACTGGTGAGGCCAAGATGATCCCTTAGGCACTAAGGAGAAAGAAATATTTTAGTGTTTCCTTTAGGCAAAAAGGTTATCAAAGCGAAATGGTCTTGCAGGGCCTCTAAAGCTTGGAGGTAGATGGAGACAGGGAGAACCCACAGGCACAGTGAGCTGAGTTCTAGAAACTGGAAATCAAAGGGAACTTCAATCATAGGCCTGCTAAAAGCCTGAAGCAAAAATCTACTGAAGTTAACAAGACCTAGAGTCCCTACAGGATATTAGGGAAAGGTATGGCATGTATCATTGGGGTGAGATGCCTTGGAAAGGGGCATAGACAAAGAGTAAAGAAAATCAGAAGGCTCCCCATGGGCACTGGGGAACACAGGACAAGCATGGCTTAAAATCTGGATAATAACTATTAATAGTGAATACTCTTGGCCAGGTGCAGTGGCTCATGCTTATAATCCCAGCACTTTGGGAGGCCGAGGTGAGAGGATTGCCTGAACCCACAGGTTTGAGACCAGCCTAGGCAACCTGGTGAAACCTCATCTCTACAATAAATCAAGAAAAATTAGCCAGGCATGATGGCACATGCCTGTAGTTCCAGCTACTTGGAAGGCTGAGGCAGAAGGATCACCTGAGTCCAGCAGTTCAAGGCTGTGGTGGCCATGTGTGTGCCACTGCACTCCAGCCTGGGTGCAAAAAAAAAAAAAAAATAGTGAATACACAAAAAATAAGACTGAGAAATTTTGTGAGGAGGCACTTTTACTTTCTCTTAAACACTGTTGAATTTTTATTTTTTTAAGTATGAATTATTTATAAATGTTTTTAAATATAACCCAGGCAAACTAGAGGCCAATGAGACTTTTCTACGTGGTTTCCTAGAAGAATAAGTGAAAGATCTCAGAGCCTGAGGCTCAGGGAATACTAGAGATAGAGATGGGTGTTGCCTTGAGCCTATACAGTATTCACTATTATAGAGCAGGAACAGGGAAATAACTATGCTGTATCTCTCTCATGCTCCCCCTTCAAGCTGCTTTTATCATCAAAATAATATTTTCTTAATACTTTCTAATACTCATTTCTGCCTAGATCACCAAAAAAAGCTTAAGATGTACAAAAATATTCCTCATTCACTTCTAGAATACAAATATACAAATCCCCAATCCTTTTTAGTAATTATTCTTTAATAATAATTTCTTTAAAATATTTAGGCATAAGCCACCAGTCTTTTAAATTAAATAGCAGCCCTATGCAAATTTATATGATAAACCCACCTAATCCAAACTTTAGAGTTTTATAAAAGTGTATTTTAGCCAGGCTCAGTGACTCAGCCTGTAATCCCACGCTTTGGGAGGCAGAGGTGAGTGAATTGCCTGAGCCCACGGGTTTGAGACCCGCCTGGGCAACCTGATGAGACGTCATCTCTACAAAAAATCAAAAAAATTAGCCAGGCATGGTAGCGCACACCTGTAGTTCCAGCTACTTGGAAGGCTGAGGCGGAAGGATCACCAGAGCCCAGCAGGTCGAGGCTGCGGTGGCCAGGAGCAGCCACTGCACTCCAGTCTGAGTGACAGAGTGAGATTCCAACTAAAAAAAAAAGTATATTTTAAATCCTAAGATACGTTAGAGTCAGTCCAGACTTGAAAGTGCACCCTTTAAAAGGCTCTTCCTACTGAGAAAGATACTGTCCAAGACCCAAGCTAAAAACTTCTACAACAAATGTAAAACAGAGATTCATTACACTAAGGCAAGGGGGAAAAAATAATGAAACCAAGAGGGGGGAGTCCCAAAGCAGACAGACACCATGAGGAAACAGCCTGACTCCAGTCTCTTGAGATGAATTTGGAAAAGCACCAATGGAAACACTTCACATGACTTCAATCTCCAGGAAAATGAAAAAAGTGGATAAAGAAACTTCTCAATAATATCAGGCTCCCAAAACAGCTTAGAATTCAACAAAGAGACCAAAAACATACAGATTTGGAAAAGGTAATGGAAAGCTACAGTGTTTGTAATGACAGAGATGGGAATACATTTACACATTGTTCAGGGCTCTCATATCAAACACACATTTTGTTACCTAAGATGGAGTTTTTCTAGCCCAGCATCTGCAAGGTCATCATTGGCCCTTTGATGAATGTCCCTCTGTGTTTCTATTTTGTGATCATCAGACAGACCATCAACTTTGTGAATAAAAACCTCAAAATTCATGTCTGGGTTAACTTTGTAGGCTTTAGAAACAGTAATGTGAAGTCTTGTTAAAGCCTCCATGTAGTCATCCTGTAAGTCAGAACAAAATGTTTTTTAAATAGAAATCTTACAAAAGTCAAGTAATGAGTTAAGAAAGTCTCAAACCACCTCTTTTCCCAACCATAGAAAACACATTATCTAATTACTCATTATATTCAAACATTTAAATACATTAACTTATACTACTAAGTAGCTCTTCAATTTCTCAGGATAAAAAAATTCAATTACCAAGTTAATGCTTATAATTTTTAATAGTGATAATATACAGAAAGGAAAAAGGAAGTGGACATTTCTTCCCAATGGAATTTTTTTAAGTAATCCCAGCTCTGCCATTTATCACGTGTATGACTTTAAGTAAGCTGCTTAAACTCTGTGATCTCAGTTTACTCATCTGTAAAACTGGAATTACAATACCTACACTTCACAGTATTGTGAAGATTAAATTAAATTAGATTCTGTATGTGAAAGCACTCACTATAGACCTTGTCACTCAGAAATCATTACTAATGCTTAACCTTATAAAAAGTAAGCTTCTTATGAATAGGGACATGTGTCACTCATGACTGTCTGCCACATGCTAGACCCTGTCTAAGTGCTTGTTAGGCTAAACTCATTTGGACAATTAAGGAAACTATTCACTCTAAAATCTACTAACTCAGTTCTCATATTCTTCTTTATGTTATAGGATGATATCTTTTCAGTAAGTGACATCACTACTGCTATAGTTAATAAAGTACAACAATATCTACCATTAACCAATAAAAGTGGAAAACCAATGTTAGCTGCTTAATAACTAGGACTCCAAGATATGAACCACATATCCGAACCATTCAACATTCTGTACTTGCTCAGTGACATGCCTGCTCCCAAAGCACATCTGCATCTCTTATGCTATAAGGAATCTACTGCCAAAGAAATAAGCTGCAAGCAAATGACAAGAAGATAAAATAACTCTCCTTTGTTTCTGTATCTCTTTGCCACCAGGATGGAGAAATAAATAAAATAAACAATTGTTTCTAACTACCTGTGCATCAATAACATATATCAATGCTCCTGTTCCCCTGAAGATCATCTCATAGTCAAACGTTGGGTCAAAAAAGTCCATTTGCCCAGGAAAATCCCATATTTGGAAATTCACAAAGGAGCTATTGGAAATGTCATCTTTATAAATCTTGTTGGTACTTTCCAAAAAGAGGGTCTCGTTGGGTGACATCTTATGAAACACCACCTGTTAAAAGAAACAAGACAATATTATGACTATTCAACTTAAGAATTTAAATTTAAAAGTTCACCCTGGTTTAACATTAAAAAAATTGATCCCGTAACAAAAAAAATTTTGAAAAGTAAAAATTGAATAGTGAATCCACTGATAGTCACTATCCTTTTATTTCTGAGAAAAGAAACACCAAATTAAGTTCCATTAACTCTGTTTTGGAGCTAAAACTTTCCTGCTATCTCTCTGCATCACATTCAGTACCAGAGAGAATAGTACTCTCTCTCACTTCTCCACTGTTTTTTTCTTTGCGGGGGGGGGGGGGGGAAACTAATATTAATTCTGCCAAAATCTGCTTTAAGATTATGAAAGCTTTATAAGTGAAAGCTTAAGTTTTGCTCATTCAAAAAATTACTTGAGTACCTACCTCAGACTCTAAGGAGTAATAAAAAAAAGTGAAACAGACTGGACCCTGCCCTCACTGACTTTACAGTACTGTGGAAAAAATAAAACAAGGAAAGTAACTATACCAAGTAGAAAGTGAAAACATCCAGGAGGACCAGTGGGAGTTGACAGGAAAAAAAGAAGCTCCCATGAGAAAAGAAATGGTAAAGACAATTGTTAAGAATCACAATCCAGCCGGGGTCGGTGGCTCAACCTGTAATCCCGTGCTTTGGGAGGCTGAGGTGAGTGGACCTGCCTGAGCCCGCGGGTTCGAGACCCGCCTGGGCAACTTGGCGAGCCCTCATCTCTACAATAAATCAAAAAATTAGCCGGGTGTGGTAGTGCGCACCTGTAGTTCTAGCTACTTGGAAGGCTGAGGCGGAAGGATCGCCAGAGCCCAGCAGTTCGAGGCTGCGGTGGCCGGCAGCGGCCACTGCACTCCAGTCTGGGCGACAGTAAGACTACAACTCAATAAAAAAAAAAAAAAAATCACAATCCACACAACCCTAAATTAAAACTAGCTTGCCTCTCATTAATTTATTTTCTAGAAGAGAAAAATGGACTGTTACTCCCAAGTTTTCGTCAGTTAACAAGTGGAAGAACTAGAATCAGTTTGCTAAAAACCTACCACAAATGTACTCAAGTTTTGCTTGTGGAGGTGAAAAGCAAGGTAAATAAAATGCAGTAATCCAGCAAATTTGGAGAAAAGTCACGTCTACGAAACATTTTGGACAGACCTTTCAACGGAATGGCAAAGGAAAAAGACCAGGTGTCTGGTGATAATTCACTTTATTACCAGTTCATTCTGCGCGCCACGGGGGTGGACTGCTGCAGGAAGTCAATCTTGCCTCTATTTCCCTCTTACTAAAAAGCGTACATCCCTCCATTCGTTCATGAAAGGCCCAAAATGAAAACAAATGGACTGGCGTAGGTCAACAAAACATTCTCGAAGTCTCAAAAGAATTTTGTAACCACACACCTACAGGGGAATATCTCCAGGAACTATATTCACCAGGCCACAAGCACTGAATCAGGGGCACTGTGAGTACCCAATCCCCAATAACGTGACATGAAGTCTCCCTCCGAGTAGTAACAAGGGCAAGCATTAAGACGCCCAGTGCCTTAGTCACAACGCTCGGACGCTGCTCCCCAGGGCTCGGCTGGGAATCCCTGCAAACTCAGGTCACCTGAAGTGAGAGGAACAAAAAGCAAACGGGGCAGGGGGAGAGAGTCCACGAAGTTCTTCAAGTGAGCACTAGAACGTCTCAGTTTCGCAAGTGACACGGGGGCCCGGGCCCCAGGGGGCGGAGGTCTTGGGCGGTGCCGCCGGGCACCTGCCTCCCTCCAGCCACTTTCGCCTTCAGCGACCCACTCGGCCACAGCTGACTTGGGCGTGGACGCAGAGGTCGGGGTCCCCGCGCTCGCAGAAGTAGAAGGGAAAGTGCGGCGGGGCGGGACGGGACTCTGGGCCAGCCCGGCC